TGACGGTTGGTAACTGTCCATCAGAAGCCACTTCCCCTTGCATGTAATAATGTCGCAAGGATGCGATTTTTCATTAAAACGCCTGTTGAGAAAGTAAAGCCAGTAAGCAAACCTTCGTTGTCCGGTGGAAGAAGACGATTAGTGAAGTTTCGTTTTCTAGTTGAGTGCCTTAATGTCTGATGCAAGACTCGAACAGCACAGTGGCGGATATCCATGAATGCTGGTCGGAGCAAACACGATATCTCTGTGACTGACACTCGAGGTATTTCACTCGAACGAAATCAGAATTTTGACGTGAATGAGAAGGAGATGTCGATCTTCACATGTATGATTCCAATCAATCTGAGGCAGAAACTATTCACTTTTGGTCACGAGATGCCTATCGCGGTTGCGCTAAAGTGCCCCAGTTTTGGCGCGAGATGGCTGCCAGTGTGAAACGGATAAAAGCATTGCAGCGTGTGTCGTCATGCCAGCGGGGTTAGCTACTGAAATAATGCAATCTTGGGACACATCAGTAGATTGCGTTAGCTCCGATGCTTAAGGCTGGTGCGTTGTGACACTTGGACATGATTGGTCATTGCTAGTATCGGGGAATCGATATATTATGCATTTGGTAAGCTGGCAGTTCACACATTCTACTGAAGCAACTGTACCTCAAGGCCGAAGACTGAGCACCGTAAGACAAAGTGTGTTATGCAGTCCCGAAAGCCACACTTCTGTTTTGGGACTCCTATTTTGCCATGAAGGCATTTCGAGCATACGGCAAAATCATCATCGTATAGAAATGAACGCTGTTTGATACTCAACAGGGAATTGGGCAACTACGAGGATCAACAGGACTAATTGGAAGTGTGGAGACCGAGAAGATGCTTTGTATCTGCTATTACTGATCTATCTGTACATATTGTCAATAAGAGCTCACCGTTCTAGTACATATACGGTAGACGACACCGATTGACTGGGGGAATGTAGTCAACTGCTGATGGGTGCACGCGATCAGCAATGGAAGCAGCTGATCTCCTACGGCTTCATTACTCCCGAACTTTCCAGGAGGTAACAAGCACAAACATTCTCCTCATTTCTACTACTCCACCATCTGGTTTAGAAAACATCACCTTCACTGCGAAAGCTGTGTTGAAGAAGTCGTTATGCTTGCGTATCCACAGTTCTCCAGGAGCTGACAACATTCGACCAAAGGCTCTACAGACGGTAGCTAGTGATCTAGCAGCACCACTGGCTGTTTTCTATCAGCGATGTCTAGAGGAGAACCGTATTCCACCAGTATGGAAGCGTGAGGTCATCACTCCTATCCATAAAGGAGGTAGCCGCACTGATCCTGCCAACTACCGTCACATAACAATACTTCCAGTACTATCCAAAGTGATGGAATCAATCATCGCAGATGCACTGATGGAATACCTGGAAAGCCAAAATTTAATAGCCCCAGAGCAACATGGCTTTTGTCAAAAGCATTCGTGTAATACTAACCTATTAATTGCACGTAATAGCTGGACTGAAGCTGTTGATGATGGAGTAGGAGTCGATGTCATCTACCTGGACTTTTCAAAAGCATTTGATCGCTTAAACCATCGCATTCTCCTTCAGAAGCTTCGGAATTACGGCATTGGCGATCCAATCCTGAGTTGGATTGACAATTTTCTACAAGAACGACAGCTCGTGGTGAGAGTCCGAGAATCATTGTCTGATGCAATCGATGTGGCGTGCGGGGTACCACAAGGCTCGGTTCTTGGACCTCGTCTATTCTTGGTGTTCATAAACGATTTGATGAGATCAATTACTTTTGATTTCCTATTTTTCGCTGATGATATCAAGATATGGCGAAGGATCAGAGGACCGGACGACCATAAACGGCTCCAGTGCGATCTTAACACAGTGTCGAACTGCTCAGTTCAAAACGCCCTACCGTTCAATGTAGACAAATGTCGCGTAGTACAATTACGCCATAGTCATAACTACACTTGGGACCAACGGACTGCAGAATAGCTCCCAGGAATGTGACCTGGGTGTGATGGTACAGAGCGACCTCAACTGTTCAAAACAGGCTGAGGTAGCTGCGAAAAGTGGCAACCAGCATGTCGGCATGCTGCGAAGAGCATTCAGGAGATTTGACCCATCAATCTTCCCAATGATGCACAATTCCTACGTGCGCCCGCATGTTGAATACGCTATCCAAGCTTGGCAACCTTGGTTGAAGCGTGACCTAGAAGCGATAGAGGCACCGCAACGGAGAGCAACAAAGAATGTGCAGGGTCTGCGCTACCACTCTTATCACCGAAGGCTGAAGTTGTTGGGAATTTTCAGCGGGCGCTATCGAAGACTGCGCGGTGCTCTCATATTAGCGTATCAAATATTGAGTGACCCCAACCACGTATACCGCCACTTGCTGAAACTTAGCCACAACACGCAGCTCAGGGGTAACTGCTTAAAGTTGAAGGAACAATACAGCCGTCTAGAGTGTCGACAGAATTACTTTTTCCTTCGCGTTTGCAAACCTTGGAACGCATTTCCAGACTCAGTTGTATCCTCTCCTACCTTGGAGATTTTCAAAAAAACGATTAGATGTTACTCTTAGCTCCCAACATTTTGTTACCTAAACTCCCCTACTGTGGATTACGCCAATGATGCATTTCAACAGGATTTATGTATCAAATGGACCTAAGTGAACGACCATATTTTACTTTTCTCATTCTTTACCTCAATGATCACTGTACTCCAGTGTCTTTCTGAACGTTTACGCTCGATAATTTCTTTTAACTTTACACCGATGTTACTTATCAAACTATTCATCTCGTCAGACGTTCGATAGATGACCCAGACATATTTTGATTTCATCATATTTACCTCAACCATCCTACGGGACGTGTCAAACACTTGCTTTTATCCCGTGATAAATCGTTGTTCATTGTTCATGTACAGTACTAGAAAGCTGGTGAAGGCTATTCGGTTGAGATTGCTGGCGAACTTGCGGGCTAAAGTCGGACATTGGTTCCGGAAATCTCCAAGCAAATTGGAGATGGGATATAAGACTCACAATCAAGTAGCTGTATGTGCTTGAGAAGCGGGAAACATGTTGGCGGAATGGAAAGAACTGCTGTTCGACAACGCCAATCAGCAGCCAAGTTCAACGCAATGCAGTGGCATGAACTACCCAACGAAATAGAATTACATCCTGAGCCGACTCAAAGGTTAGCGAAAATCCCTGAGGTGTGGAAACAAGGAAAGGTAAGTGAACTGGTGGTAAGTATCCAAGTGTTTATGATCGCCCAGATGACTCCCAGTCGGCTCCGCTAATGGAGTCACATGAGAAGTGAATTTGACTACGGCTCAAACGATACTATCTAGCTGAGGTAAAACCGTTTGAACGCTACGCGACGTGAGCGGTAAAGGATCCCTATTCATTCAACTGGCATATGGCTTGATGGAACTGATCACCCAATTATTATTATCTTGATGACTTCCCTGGATCCTACTCCCTTTGAGCTATGCATCAGCTGTCGAACCACGAGGTCGCATTGTACACAATGCACCGTTTATTACTGAGTGTGCGGGAACTCATATGTTATTAAAAGCACCGAGAAGTATTGTATCAGTACCTATTTTCATTGTGTGTCCTGACAGGCATTGCAGTGGTGGGAAAGCTGATGCGAAAGCTGTAGGGGCAATCTAGTAATTACTTGGTGATGTGAGATCGTTTACTCCACTGAAACTGGTGCGAGAAGGATGTTCTGGAAGGATACATCAAGTTCGACTTGGCCTGATTACGGCATTACTTTCACTTGACTTGACATAGCGATCTGTTCAGCAATATTTCACACTTATAAGAGTTAGGTGAAACTAGAAGCACCAATGTCAGGACTACAAATCACAGAGTAGGCACCCTGCGAACTCACCATCTAACATGGAATGGTTGTGCCGCTCAGCCCTCCAAGTAAGCAGAATCCTTCGAGGAAAGTCTACCCAGAGATAAAAACGACAGTGTGTTGCAAATCTGTTGCGCTGGCTGGTTTGCGAGGGGTTGGCGCACAGCGTGTCTCACGCACACACACGGTTCATCCCACAGGCTGATCATATGAACATGTTAAGTGCACTAGTGGATAAACGAGCATCCATCCCGTCACGTGCTGTCCATCGATCAGCCATTCATTTAGGGTGTCCGTCAGCGACCGGTGCCACCTGTAGCTGATGTCATTCGATCGTACGTAACCCAACTATGATCATTAGATGGCTCCTCGTTATCGCGTTATCCATGTTAGCACGTTGAACAAAACACTTTAGAGCTTACAGCTCCCCCCCCCGAAGGCTTCTTGTACAAACGTTCCGAAGACACTGTATTTAAATAACGTTGCACTAGCATTGCTGCTTGTCTGCTCTTCTGCCCGAGAACATTAGTTGATCATGTCCTCACCAATGACCGAATGAGGATGTGCGACGGAAATCCTCCCGTCTGCGACTGTTTTTACATCAGGTACATTTAGCCGGACCTCTACCTGGTTATTCCTCCAACATTTCGTGATCTTAGCCGACCGAAGCTTTCAGGCATGTATTTGCGCTCTGTATGATCAGACACGTGTTGTCCGGCCACCTATTTATGTCACATGTTGTTGGAGAGAATGACAAACACCTACTTCAATCCTTAGTACAACATTTGTTTCGTTAGCATAATGTCCAGGAACGTACTCATTGGCAGTGTTTATGCCGAAACTGTGCTCATTAGAACGTATACAAGCTGTTTTGATTATGCCTGACTTGAGTTGAAGTATTCAGATGCACTTACCTGAGAGGACAGGAAACTAACTGTTGGGTTTGCGGGTTAGATAGACACATTCTATTTCCCCGCATTCACGTCGATGTGAGTTACGATAAGGTCAAATGCGAATACTCTGAAACGTTGCTTAACCGTGGAATAGCTTCTACACTGGAATCTAGGTACAGTTCCACATGGTTTATCCACATTTGACATAAAACGTTAAAACACTCACTTGCTTTAGTTGCTGTTCCTGTTCTGTTTTAGCGCATTCCAATCTGTCAATATTCCTTTGAAATTCCACGCAAATGGTGTCCGATTTTTGGATAAGATCGCGTGATATGTCCTTGAGCAGTTGTGTTATCAATCCACGAAGATCCTCGCTAGTCAATCGTTCTGCTTCTGATCGCACAATCACATCGTGTGATACCTGTGCCCATTGTTCCGGACTGGACATATTCTCCTGTGAAACCGAAGGCTATTTTACTACCACTCTGCAGCACAACAATGTTTGACATGTTTAACAAGATATGTGGAGTATTGCTTATTAGTTCACAACTGTCTATTAAGATCGGATCGACTTACTCCGCAGAGAGTTCAGAGGCACTTTACAAGACTATCAATTGGAGTTTTCACGAAAGTGACACATAGAACAATGCTGCACTCTTAGGCATTATCTTATCCCAATGAAAGAATCAGGCTATACCTTCCATTCACATTCATACACCATCCTGCAAACATTGCTGGTGATATTCTTCTTCAGTCGTTGAACACCAGTTACACTGGATGCTTCGCGAGTTACTACTGCAATCAGAGTACACCGTTTCCTGATTGAGTACTCAAAAAGCTGGATAATATTTCGACAACCATCAGGGATTGATGCAAAATGCAACAGTACAAGTCTATCCTTGGTCGTTTTATATACATTCGGACCTCACTCTCTGACTCTGGACTTTGCATGTTCGAGTGGTATCAGTGATGAGAAATCGTGAACGTACCTACCAGATGCAGATAGAAATAAGTTCTGTGATTTTACCACATTGATCTGCTTCTGCACTGAGGCTACTTGTGCTTCGACTTGTCGTGCCACAATTCGCTGCAAGTATGAGTCGAGCTGCTCGTGTTCTTTAACAGCTAGATTCTCCAGTGTGACAGATAAAACGCACCGGGTAAACTCGAGCACGTTAATCCAACACACAACCGTGTCATTTATATTCAGAATGGAAGGTTTTAACGCAGTGCACCTCAGATTAACTCCATTACATCTAAGTATTTTCCAAAAATTAATAAAATATTCACAGTATGAAATACAGGCTACAAGAAACTGCACAGACGTTTTCGGTACCGCAAGTTTTGTGCTGAACTTTACATACTAGTTAAGTTCTCTTAACACTGTGGGATCGTTGGACTGTTTCAACTGAAAAAATTCCCGGAAAAGACATCAGAAGCAAGCTGTTGAAAGCATCCATCAACAGCTTTGTCTAACACAGTCGATATGTCAAGGACATGTTTGTATTGCGGATACTGGAGTGGGCAACGACGATCTGTTGAGGCACTTCAATCCCTCACACAGTTTCATAACATTCACTATCGAGTTAGAATGTAAAGGCTCGTTGGTGTTCATATCAAAAAGGCATCAGAAGGATCAATGCAGAGGAGCGAGCAAAGAAAAGAAGCATGTAATGGGCGATATGTCCACTTCGCTAGCTTTGTTCTACTGAATCATCCGCGGTCTAACGGAGCGACCGAGTAGGAGATATACAGTAGATAAAACTTCGGATGAGCTGCGTTTTATCCTAAGCGTGTTTGAACCTAAGCAATACTCCGAAAAATTCATCCAGAAGCACATAGAGCCGCGAGTGCCAAAGTTGAGAACTTCTTCCGCCGAGAATCGGTTACGATATCTCTCGTTAGTGTTTGTAACCGTGCTGCGATAACGGAACGGACCACCCGAAGGCTTTCCACTGGCACAGCGGGAATGTACTATGCTGCTGGCCTACGCGTAAGCAACTTATGAACAGGATGCCGTGGTCATAGATTTCTCTCTGCAGCGAACTACACATCGATCTCATCAATGACCCAGATGTTCAGATTGTCGATGCGCTTTGGTGTCGTCTTCAACTTAGCCGTGGGGACGCATGTTTGTTAGGTGTGGTGTATCGCCCTCCGTCGGCTACTTTGGAAATGGACAACCGCCTAGCCTCCACAATGAAGACCATTCTCTCGCAGTCATACAGCCACATTCTCCTGGTTGGCGACTTCAATATTCATACCATAGAAACCCCAGCCTGTATCAACGAACACTTCAAAATGGAAGTACAGGAGATAATCAGTAGGCTACCACTCTACAATCACATCACATCTCCAACAAGATTCAGGACGGGAAACAAACCGGGTGTCCTGGATCTTGTATTCACCAATGAAGAGCTTATGATCGAAACGGTATCGATAGAGAGTCCTTTAGGCCGTAGCGACCATGCAACCCTCATGCTCAAGTACATCAGTTATGCAGAGTATTCCTCAGAAAACACCGAGGAATGCCAGCTCATTACGGATTACGGCGCTCTAGTCAAACTGATAAATGCTACAAACTGGGCATTTCTAGCAGAACGTTCCCCCGATATCGCCTGGTCTGAATTTGCTCACCAGTTTAACACGTTAGTAACTAGTGCTTCTAGAAAAAGGCATTCGCAAGCGAAGACAGTAAAATCATTCATACGCAGCAGGACACGCAAGTGTATCGTCACGGGGAATTTACTCTGGCGAAGATACAAGGAGTCACCGAGTGCCGAAACATGGGAAGCCTACACTATCCAAAGGAATCACTGCGTAAACCTGGTACGCGAAGATAAAATGCAGCACCAACAGAATCTAGCTGAGAAATTTCTTTCAAACCCCAAGCTCCTGTACGTTAACAAGCTCCGCAAAGTACAGCGAGGAATTCCTGCTTTACACACATTGTGTGAACTTGCACAAAACGCAACCGAGGCGGCCAACGCCCTATGTCATCAATTCGCCCCGAACTTCCAGAGTACGACATCGCCGCATACACTGTTCCCAATCGTTTTACCACCACCAGGACTTAGCCACATCACATTTACGACTGCGGATGTCATGAAAAGGCTAATTGCCCTGCGCGAGCATACCTCTCCCGGTGTTGATAATATTCGTCCAAAAGCGTTGAAATTGGCTGCAGTAAACCTGGCAGACCCATTCTGCAAGTTCTTCCAACGATGCCTCGATGAGAAGCGCGTGCCAACAATGTGCAAGCAAGGCATCGTCACTCCCATCCATTAGGGGGGAAAGTCGTACAGATCCGGCCAACTACCGCCCGATAACACTACTCCCGGTGCTCTCCAAAATCATGGAAGCGATTGTCGCCGGAACTCTGATGAACTTTTTGGAAGAACGAAATATCATAGCACAAGAGCAACATGGGTTTCGCAAGAACCGATCTTGCACTTCAAACTTGCTGCTTGCCAGATCTAGTTGGACTGAGACCGTTGACAGTGGCGTAGGTGTTGACGCAGTATATCTGGATTTCTCAAGACTTTCGACCGTTTGAACCACCGTATCCTCCTTCACAAGCTGCAGTGTTGTGGAATTGGTGACCCAATCCTCGGTTGGATAGCTAACTTCTTGCTTCAACGACATCTGAATGTAAGAGTTCGCGGCGTCATCTCAGACCCAATCGACGTTAAGTGCGGAGTGCCCCAGGGCTCAATACTTGGTCCACGACTATTCCTGATTTACATAAACGATCTCGCGACAGTAATCAACCCCAACTCCTTACTCTTCGCTGATGATCTCAAGATATGGCGAGCCATTAGAACAACCAGCGACAATGCAGCACTTCAGGATGATCTGGACAAGGTCTACGAATGGTCAACTCAGAACCTGCTTCAGTTCAATGCTACAAAGTGCAAGGTGCTGAGCATACGCCATAAAGCCACGTGAATACAGACTGGAAGATCAAATATTGCAGCGCACAACAACGGAATGCGATCTAGGTGTTATAGTGCAGGAAGATCTGGGCTGTTCCCGTCAGGCCGAGAAAGCCTCCAAAAAAGCTAACCAAAACCTTGGCCTTTTGCGGAGGGCGTTCGGGCGCTTCGATCCTTCCATCTTTTCCCAGATGCTGAGCGCCTACATTCGGACTCATTCTGAGTACGCCATCCACGCTTGGCAGCCATGGCAGAAGCAAGACCTTACCGCTCTTGAACTGCCACAACGAAGGGCGACCAAGAACGTCAAGGGCCTGTTTCATCTCCCTTACCGATTGAGGCTGAAAACCCTCGGGGCCTACAGTGGACAATATCGACGCCTGCGTGGCGACTTGATAATGACTTATATGATTCTGCGGAATCCAAACCATTGTTGTCGTCACCTACTTAAGCTGAATAACAATACAACACTCAGAGGACACCATCTAAAGCTGGCCACACAACACAGCCGGTTGGAATGCCGCCGGAATTTCTTTTCCCTTCGTGTGTGCCAACACTGGAACGCTCTTCCCACATACGTTGTTTCTTCCCCCACGCTATCGCTATTTAAAAGACGTCTGGATGATTCGCTTATCCACTTACATTACGCTATATAATCAGAGATGTCCACATTGAACAAACACGAAAAAATACGGTGCTCATTCTCAGCTTTTGTGCTTCACTATTTACACACTGCTGTTGTGGAATATAGTATCGGATATATTACAACTGCACTCATCAATTTACCCCAGTCCAAGAAAGCGGCGCACGAGTAAGCGTTGGTCGTTTCTATTGTTCTTAAGACCTGCCTTACCCATATTACTTCCCATAATACTCTACAGTAACAATTCAGTACATGTTCTACAGCGTTTCTATGAATAAGTGACACTTGAATTCACTAGAAGCTTAAACTGATGATTTACACTTATGTTTACTTTCACTTCAACCATCCTACGGGACTTGTAAAGCAATCGCTTTTTTACCTGTAATATATCATTGTTCCTTGTTGTTCAATTTCTCCTGCTCGTGTCCAGTAGGGTATATTAGGAAAACGACCAGGCGACTGTCCGTTAGAGATCGAGAGTATTTCCTAATCTGTCTGTACAGCGGTATGAGGAAGAATGTGACGTGTGCAGTGTTGTGGCACCTATTGGGCTCTTATCATCAAATAAATGCACTTGAGATATTCCGTCAAGCTGGACAATGGTCTCAAGTTCTAGCGGACAGTCGCCTGGTCGTTTTCCCAATATATCTTACTCGACACGCGTAAAAGAAATTACACACACAGAAGGAACTTTGCAACCAAAATGTCCTATCCTTTATTTGCCCGCGCACAATCGATAAACTTGGGGAAACGATCAGACAGCTGTCCGTTAAAGCCCGAGAGTATTGTCCAGCGGTGTGAGGAAGAATGTGACGAGTGAAGTTTTGTCGCACCTAGTAGACTCCGATCGCCATATCAATTCGCATGATACAACCATACCAGGCTACGGTGTACCCGTACACAGCACCCAAGATCGGTTAGATGACGCCTACTGTACACAACATAGGCGATCACAATTCAGTGTCCATTCACCGTGTTTGTCTTGACAGGTGATAACGCGATTAACCAGAAAATTGCGCGCCCGCGTTATGGCAAAACAGCCATGAAGCTCTGGTGTGCAGCACGTTTTAAGAAAAAATTTACCTCGTGACTCACTTGGTACTTCGCTACGTCGGAGTAGAATTGCTTGTTGGTGGACCCATTGTTAAGCACACCTGCGATCGTGTCATACTCCTCGGCCTCCTTTTTGTCGCTCCAGTTGCACTCCATCGCCTCTTTGATTGATCGATTCCGACTGTGCATGGAAGTGTGATAAGGAGAAACTCAGAAACATAGCTCATTCGTCGGCTGAGCTCAAGTTGCATTTGATATAAAATTGGTCTGCTGTAACTGCCACTGTGTAGCGGCTGAGTTAGAAATACCTATAACATTTCACAGTTTGGTTTTTGAACGAGTCAGAGTGTCTGACGGATACTGTGACTCAACCTGCCACAGATAATCTCAGTGGTCTGTATGAGATCTAACTTTTCGGAATGAGAGAGTAACCTTATATGGGACCCAAACAAAACAACCATAATCGATAGCTGTAATGCCTGTAGCTATTGGAAAGCACTGCAACTGTTGCACCGAATCCCATCATAATGTAGCGAGAACGACAAGACAGGGGGTAGACGTTTATTGCACACCGAAAATGGGCACATGAGGGTCTCGCGCGCGCCATCGAATATCGACTAGATTTCCGTCCCACCACGCAACACAGGTACGGATGTTGGAGACGAGCCAGTCCTTTCGCCTCGGGAGCTCTGACTTGGAAGATCCGCCTTCCTGTTTTCGCCCCGATCTCCGCTTCTCTGCACCCGATTTGGATCGGCCAGGAGTCGTTCGAGAGCTCTCGACTTGCTTGTTCTGGGCTGTGTCAATCGGCTCGGCCTCGGTCCTGTGGGCTGCGCTAGCGGCGTATTTGTCTGATTTATTGCGCTGTCCACATATTCCCGCTCCGTAGTTCCGGGCCCAGGCTCGTCGCTAGCCGTCTTTAGCGATCCGCTCTCAGCTAGCTCCGAAGAGCTCCCCAGAGCCATTCTTGGAAGCGGCCCCTCTACAATAATCCTCAAACTAAAGAACAAACCCTTAATCAGTCAGTGATTCATACAGATGTGATTTGGTAACTCCTTTGACTTTCAGTGAAGTATGCGTCACACTATCGCTGGGATGCTTTACGAGATTTCGCCGCAGTGAGAAAGTGAGATCGATGCTGTAACTAGTGGGGATGAATTGGTTGGTTGATGGCAACGTGTGAATACATTTTCGGGGTACCATTTAAGTAGAAACAACTAGGTGTTTTGTAGCTCAACTTCAACGCCCTGTTTTGTACCAAACTTTTTCTCAATGATACTACTTAAGTAGAGACACGAATAAGCCAGAAGTTTGGCTACAAAGCATTTGTGGGTGCATCTTCAATGGTGACAGGGCACCGAGCCAATCCAACCGCTTTCACTGTAAGGGTGTCGGTCCATTTAGCCGTTTGTGTCTCACCTACTGGTTTCGTCGGGATGTGCTCAGATGCTAGAGCTACGTAACCTATTGCCAGAATATGTTTCTTACAAACTCAAGTCAAGTCAAGATAAAGTTTATACACCCGTGTGTGAACATTTCCAGCTTAAAATGTCGCGGGTTCGGCTTTACTCGGTAACCCAAGTCAACCGGGGATGGGGTACGGAAGAGCGGGGACTGCAAAACAACGCACTCCAAACGGGAAGCAAAAGCACATCGCGCTGACATACTTGAGCACGTGAAAGGACATAGTCATGAATGGTAAGCGGTCTAACTCTGAACGACAATCGTGCGTGCGTCCAACACAGTCACGTGACAGGACAGTCACGAATGTCAAACGATCTAGCTGGGAACGACTGTCAAGCACGAGCCTGTCTAACACACTCATCCTGAGAATTGCGTAGCCTTCTTAGCCTCCAGGCAGGCTCTATTAGTAATAATAGTGAGCAGTTCTTTTGAGTGCTCCTCGATCACTAATTGCAAGTACGCAATATCAAGAGCTTCCCTCCATTAAGCTTTGTAACTAAATCCTCGGACACAGGTCAGGGATATTGATGCGTTTCCAATGCGTTATTCAATCCCCTAGATAAATCTTCGCACATAGGCAAACAGCCATTAGCCTTTTTTATAACCACAATAGGAGCGGTCCACACTGAGTAGGTCACAGAACTGATGAAGTCCATGGACTCCAGTTAACTAATTTTGGCATCCACAGCCTCAACGGCAATGTATTGTACTGGTCTTTTGGGACAAAATACTGGGCGTACGCCGGCACGCAGATACAACGCAACTTTACCACATTCCAAGATCCTCTACAAAATCATCTATATAGTTAAAGGCAAAATGTAATAAAGCTTCTGCACTGTCTTTAAACGTTAGGGGTACAACCGAACACCGAAAATCGGTGGGACACAGTGAAAAACTATCTGAGTTAGCACAAATATTGTTCAAAGGTATCTTTCATAAAGTAAGTGTGTCTAGCCAATCAATGCCTAACAAGTACAAACGTCCATATATATATGGTTGGGATCCGGTTCTGGAATTGCCTGTCACTGTGGCCTCCACGGGGACAGCCACAGGACGCCTGCGCCTACAGAGGGACCATTGGTGGCTTGCGCTACGCCCCCCCCTCTACACAGTGATCCATCATACATGGAAATATCTTCTACGATTAGAGGCTGTGCCATCACCAACCGTTTTCACTGGCATCTGTGATTAAGCGCAAGCGTTTAATTCAATCGTATTGAGCCGATTGCCATTCTGTGTGACACCATTCGATACAGAATTCTCGAGGCAGGCCGAAAAGCCTAAGCTTACTCCAATCCAGTATTTCTCAACACAGATGTGAAAGAATGTGTTCAGCGCTCTGTTCAGGTTGCAGTCACTCGCCATTCCTTGTGACCTTGTCAGCCAGTGCGGCTGCATTACCCATCACACGGACCGCGCGACCACGCCGACCGCTCATTTGACCTTGCAACCACCACGCTCGCCTGACCGATGTGCGCCGCTCTCAAAGCTGTAAAAGTACAGAACGCTAACCAACCCAATGGGTCAGGAAACGACACGAAATTGAATGGCAGAAAGGCGAAACCGAAGAGACTCCCATCGAAAGGCATTTGCGGGTTAGGAGAATGTCATCGGGTAGTAAAAATCTGTCTGGCTTGTTCGCACTGTTTGGAATGGTACCATGTGAAATGTGCAAATGTGTCCCAACAACAGGTACGGGAGGGAAATATCTCCCAAAATGCATTTTGGCTCTGTACTGCGTGTTCCACCATCCTCCTCGTTAAGTGCTTGCTTATCCTAGTTGAGAAATGCGACGGATTAATCGCAGAAGCAGAGCAGAGAATCAACAATAAGCTCACTTCAATGGAAGCGAGTATGGACCACAGAAGCGTAGCGGCTGCTAAGCAACTGCATGCTGAACAATCCGCTTCCCCTACACCGCAATCAGCCACGTCTCCATCTCCGTTGTCTTCTCCAACTTTGGTAGAACACCGGGCGAAAAACAGACTGTACCTACGAGAATCAATCAGTACTCACAGCAACGAAAATCAGGCACCATTCAAAACGCCTGGTTAAGCAAATTCCACTAGACCTGACATCTAGTATTAACAAGGATGGAGCAGTCAAACACCAACCCTTGGTACCTGTAGCTCAAATACCTCTTGTCGAGACCAAGCCTCCAAGAACATCGGTTACATATGCAGAGATTGCTGCAAGGGCTCACCGAGAGGCCGCCGTTGCGTCCTCTTCCATTGTAAACACCGTTAACGCAAATAGAGAGGAAAAGAGCAAACAATCACTTGTCAACAAATCAAGACAAATGAGTACCATACCTTATAGGATCGATTAAAAAGGGATCCAACAACAGTGCCCGGACTGTTGTATGCTCAAATGTCCCTGAATCTACCGCCATCACATTGCGGGATAAGCTATCAGACGACCAAGACCATTGGAAATCATTGTGTATGCAGATGAGTATCAAAGCAAAGCCCATGAACTTGTTACGAATTACTCGTCATCCGAACTCGCCACACTATGGTGAACCCAGACTTATTCGAGTAACTCTAGAATCCTCCACCGACGTAGAAAACGTTTTGCTCTCCGCAAGCGCGCTAAAACACGAATCCTGTGGGATACGTATCTATCCTGATGTCCCTTGGAGCGCGCGACAAACAAAATGAAACACCGAAGAGGGGCACAGCAGGCAAGACCGCCTAAACACAATCTTCATACATGGCGTGCCAGAACATCCTTCTAACAATGTTCAAGAGACCGGAAAGCACGATTTAAAACAGTGGTGGTACATTCGTGAGACACTTTCTTTGGAAAATGTTGTGGCACTATCGCTCACCAGGATACCTCTCTCATCGAATTATAGAAGATGCGGCCTTAGAATCCTAAAACTTGTGGTTCAGTCAGAACAACAAGCAAAGGATGTTTTGGATCAGTGGCGGAGAAATCGGAAACATTTTCCTTCCGAAATTCGGTTAAAGGTCGCAAACACTTTGCACAGCTCCAATATTAGAGCAACTAAAGCAGCAAGCATACTGACGAATGTACAAAAGCATAACTTGACTGTTGCTTTAATGGACTCTGACGTAGGTCTAAACGAAGATTGGGACGCACCTTGGCCGAATCAAGTTGCAAACGAGATGTCATTGACCCATTAAAAAAACGAGTAACTGCCGACCTCCCATCGGTCGGCGTTCTTCCACACGTGACAGCTTCACCTCTCTGCGGGCACTTAAAGACCGAGAAACTGGCCTGCTTGTGTACAAATGCTCAGGGTCTTTCTAAAAAAATAGCTGAACTGAAAGATCGACAAGCTTCCGGCTCATATGATGTCATTGGTATCACCGAGACGTGGTTGCACACGGGAATGACAGACGCTGAAGTTTCGCTACCGGGCATGGAGCTGATCCGGAATGACAGGTTCACAAAAGGAGGAGGGGTAATCCTGTATTACCGAAACGACTTACAGTGCGAAGCCGTGGAGGATTAGGACTCACAGTTCCCCGACTCTCTTTGGTGCCGGTTGCAGTTAAAAGGCGGGGACGTTTGCCTTATTGTCTTGGTGTACCGCGCCCCTAACTCAACACCCGAAACCGACTACCACCTAACGGCTGCTTTAAGGTGTAGCTTACAACAAAAGTACACTCACATTCTTATCATGGGTGATTTCAACGTACATTGTTTAGAAGTCCTTGCCACGATCGGCGAACAATTCAAAACCGATTT